AAACGACTGTACGGTTGGTGCGGTGGCTGGACAACCGGCTGCCGTGCAACGTGTCGCGGGTTCGATTCCCGCACGGAACAACACTTTGTGTTATCCACAAATTGTTGTTTCGGGTCTGGGTGTCATGTGTATGTGAACTTTTATGTTTGTAAACGCAACGTATTTTAAACAAAAAAAAAAAAAATTTGTGATCATGGTCACCCTAGCCATTCTGTTTAGCTTTCTGTCCGCGCACATCTCAGAAACAGTTCTCTATACAGTAAAATGTTATGTTTTCCTTTTACTGTTTGTAGATACTGTTTTTCTATGCCAAGTTAATGAACTCTTTATAACACGACATAATAATAGCCAAGTTACCACCGCTACTCTTCCCGCGGGTGTCGTATACCCGACTAAGGGGCTATACATTAGACTTATAGTTTTTTTTTAAGGGGGGAAAATCATCGAATGACTGCTCTCGCCTGGGTGAGACGTGAGGGAATGTCAGACTATTACTGACTAAAAACCACCCCGTTCCTACTCCTGCACTTCGAGCCGGAGCCCCGGCAACCCGTTAGGTTCTCTACGGCTCCGTGTTACTATATATTATATGTATATTTCATTAAGTAAAGTTACTGAACTCTGTATTTACTGAACAAACTTAGCATTTGCTATGGTTTTGCTTGCATGCGACTGTCCAAGTCATAAACATGTGCGAATTTTTGCTAATTTATTCCATGTGTACTTAGAACAGTTCTGTTTGTACCTTCTAAGAATTGTGAGGTGTGATATTAGTATTAGCTCATTGCTAATATTTTTACATACTATTTCAATAAGTTATATACAATGTTATACATATTACTGGGTATTAAAAATATCTCAGTAGTAGCACGGAGTTTGGTATTGTGCCCGGTATATAGCAATAGGCTCACCTCCTATTACATGGGACTCTTAACATAAATAGTGAAAAGTGGGTGTTACATTGTACAGTAGCATTAAGTGCCGTACTGTGCTCCTCTGCGTACGACTCTGGGGATAAAAGGCGTGATGTTATGTTACTGTTATCGTAGTATTGTACAGATTAGGGTATGTTTCCACAACGAATTTAAAAACAAGAGATAATTGGTGGGAAACCGGAGCGTATTCGAACACGCTCACTTAACGTTTCGGCCGCGACTGTTGGCGCGAGCGCGGGGCACCGCTCGAGCGAGGCTTCGAATTTTGAATTTTAACGCAAACGCGAATTTCTACGTTACCAGCATTTTCCTTATCGCGCTACAAAATAGGTTATAACTTACGAGTTGCCTACAGTTATATTATGGAAAGAAGTTACCGTAAAATGGGGTGAATAGAGACAAAAAAAGGCTGAATACATATTGGGAAATTATTTATAGTATCGATTCACCCCTCTTCTGTTTCTATTCACCCCATTTTTTACCGTTACATAATACAATCAGTCACGTACAGTCCACTGCCTCCCACAGTCCTCCCCCAATGGTTACACATCGCGAGGTTGGCAGCGACCTGCATACAGTTGTGCGATATATTATCACTAGCTTCTACCAGCAGCTCCGCCCGCATTCCCGTAGGTTATAAATTAGCCTATGTGTTATTCCAGACCATAATCTACCCCTGTACCAAATTTCATCCCGATCCCTTCAGCCGTTTTGACGTGAAAGAGTAACAAACATACAGACAAACACACAAACATTCGCATTTATAATATTACTAGCTTTTACCCGCGGCTTCGCTCGCGTCACAAAAGGTTAAAAAGTAGCCTATGTGACATATACCAATACTATATATACACAGCGCCATCTATACCAATAATTTCATTTTCCCTCGAGAATATCATTTTTATCCGGGTTAAAAAGTACTTACCCTATTATTTAATCCGGACTTCTAACTTTACGTCTGTAAAAATTCAAAGCAATCGGTTTAGTAGTTACGGCGTGAAAGCGGAACAAACAAACAAACAAACTCATTTTCCGATTTATAATATTAGTAAGGATACTAGCTACTTCCACGCGGTTTCACACGCTCTGCTCAGCTCCTATTGGTCGTAGCGTGATGTTTTATAGCTAAAAGCCATCCTCGATAAATGCGCTATCCAATACAAAAAGAATTATTCAAATCAGACTTGTAGTTACGGAGATTAGCGCGTTCAAACAAACAAACAAAAAAACAAACTCTTCCGCTTTATACCTCTATAATAGTAATATTAATGTGTTAATATTCTTTACTCTGCTTTACTCTTTAAGTTTATACGTCGTAAAGTTATGTCAAGTACCCTGACACTCTTCAATATGACCACAAGAAAACCTCTTCAATACTACATTCTCTGCCGACGACCTATTCTTTAGCGGCCGTAGACCCCATCCATAATGTACCGACATGGTGTTTCTTTTTACCGACTTCAAAAAAAGGAGGAGGTACTATGTTCGGCTGATTGTTTTTTTTTTTTGTTTGTTCACGCAGTACTCCGCCATTTGTGAACCGATTTCCTAAATTCTTGTTTTGTTTGAAAGGGTATACTCCCGAGATGGTCCCATTTCCATGAGGTCAGGATCTGATGATGGGATCCTAGGGAAACCGAGGGGAACTTTCGCAAATTCTATGGCCGAGTAATGCGTCTATTATGTTTTTGAATTACGATTTTTAAACACTATAATTTGATAATATTACCTTCAATACATATATATAATATTAGAAAAGTCATTGAATATTTTTTTAAAACAGTAATATAATTTTAACACTGACTGCCTCGTTGGCCGATTGGTCACAAGGGCGACTGTCGGGCAAAGGGTCTCGGGTTCGATTCCCGGGTCGGGCAAAGTATTACTGGGTTTTTAAAAATTCTCAGTAGTAGCACGGAGTCTGGAATTGTTTGTGCCCGGTATATGGCAATAGGCTCACCCCCTATTACATGGGACTCATAACATAAATAGTGAAAAGTTGGTGTTACATTGTACAATGGCATAATGTGCCTACCCCTTCGGGGATAAAAGGTGTGATGTTATGTATGTATGTTAATGTATAATTTTAACACAAGACAAAAAGGAACTATGAAACAATCAGATGTTACTGTACTGTACGTAGCAATTGCAAAGTATCTTGCGTAATCGAGGACGGTATCTACGTGATAAGGTCGTACGCTCTTAAACTATTGATTAGTCGCAGTAATCAACATTATATAAATCATTGTAAAGACTACGTAACTACCTTACACACCCACCTGGACAGACATGCAGACAGGACAGTTACGTTTGTCGCCTGGACAGTCAACCTCGCTACATCCTTGTTGACTGGACATCTACACTACACGAGCTGCTGTTTACATGTGAACATTAGCTCATGACGATACCTAAGTACGTGTGTCGCCTGGACAGTCAACCTCGCTACATCCTTGTTGACTGGACATCTACACTACACGAGCTGCTGTTTACATGTGAACATTAGCTCATGACGATACCTAAGTACGTGTGTCGCCTGGACAGTCAACCTCGCTACATCCTTGTTGACTGGACATCTACACTACATGAGCTGCTGTTTACATGTGAACATTAGCTCATGGCGATACCTAAGTCCTAACTACGTGTGTCGCCTGGACAGTCAACCTCGCTACCTACATCCTTGTTGACTGGACATCTACACTACATGAGCTGCTGTTTACATGTGAACATTAGCTCATGACGATACCTAAGTACGTGTGTCGCCTGGACAGTCAACCTCGCTACATCCTTGTTGACTGGACATCTACACTACATGAGCTGCTGTTTACATGTGAACATTAGCTCATGACGATACCTAAGTACGTATGCCTGGACAGTCAACCTCGCTACTGTCTATTGATAATCTCACAAGCCGTGGTTTTCCTTAACTATAGCGATGAATTTTAAATTAGCTCTGCTGCTTGTTATATTCACACAGCTGGGAATAAACCCAGGACTGATATTTATCTAGAAAACCGCAGCTTTGCACTTAAGTACTGTAAAAAGGTACTAAAACACGTTTTGAATGACAAAGAGACGTCCATACATACAGTAAATGTAGTGCCTACTACTAAAAATTATACTTATTGTATGCGTGATTGGTTTTTCAAAGACATCCGTGAGAATTGTTTGGATTGGCTTAGTCAGTGGTTTAACTGTGATCCCCAAACATTTTGAAAAGTGTGGGGATTATGGAATGTTACGAATTATGAGCCTTTGTTTAGCAATGGATCTGATGATGGTGATGTTATGTGGTATGTAGCGTTTCGCTTCCAGTTTCTTTGTGTGTACCGCTAAGGAGTGGAATTCCTTGCCAGAGTCTGTGTTTCCTGAAGGGTATAACCTGGGTGTCTTCAAGGTCCGAGTGAATAGGTTGCTTATGTAGACGTGCTCCATCGTAAGCCGTATCATCCGGCAAGATAGTGGACAATCGCTGACCAGTATATATATTTTTTTCCAACATGCGCCTCTGCGACCCCACTAGCATTACGAAGCCATGATACTTCTTATGTATGTTGGTTAATCATCACACAGTCCGAGACACCCAGCTGTCTATCACATGCAAACAATTGTGGAATACTAATCAATAAAGTAGTACGTAATCAAAATGAACGCATTTCGCATAAACAAAATATCATCAAGCAATTTGGAAACCCTTTAATTTTTGTTATGTGTAGAAAGAATGGATGAAGTATGGGAAAGCCATGCTTCAGCACGGACGGCTCTTGAGCGTATTGTGTGATAAATGGGATAGTCCAATGTTGGGCCATTGGATTAGACTGCACGCGGCTGTAAAGTAGAATTAGTTTTGTTTATTTATATTATATTAAATTACTAACAATAGGTTAAGCTCATTGTTACTAACAGTTTATGGACTCTAGGTCTGAAATAAATGATTAATAATAATTGCATTGATTCGACCGGAGTAATACGGCCTCATCCATCACAGTACAACGGCGTGGCACTACCACAGCGTTGTCTTTGTTTAAAATATTACTTAACTCATATTCTACTTTCTTTCTATTTCAGATCCTGTCCAGACTTAAAGAAGATCTTTCTTCTAGCAAGACCGAAGAAGAACAAAACCATCACTAAAAGACTGCAAGAACAATTTGATGACGTGGTAAGATTTTAAACACTCTTTTGAATAAGTTAATTTTACCTAGGGATAGAACTCAGAACTCAGAGACGGCAAACAAGTGTAGCTCGGAGCCTGACCAGAACCAGATCTGGGTGTATAAACACTAACTAGTATTCTTGTAGTCAGACCACTACAGATGGGGCTTATAAAGACAACTAGGGCTGAAACTGATCGGGGCTGCAAACGACGGTAAAGGCTGCCGCGGCTCCAGCTCGGAGCAGTAGTAGGAATAGGGTGGTATTAAGTCAGTAAGAGTCTGACACTTCCTCTCGCCTCACCAAAGACGGGAGGAGTTTTAATGACGTTTTCTCCCCTCAAATTTGGGGTCACACTTAACATTTTTTTTTTGTTAATTCTTTTTCAGCTGTACGACAGACTCCGCAAAGAATGTCCAGACTTCATCAACAAGATCAGCATAGTCGAAGGTGATGTAGGGCAGCTAGACCTTGGAATGTGCCCTGAAGACAGAATCAAGATAATGAATGAGGTATGTAATATATATGTACTACTCCTTGTCTTGCCGCGGGTGTCGACTACCCGTTTGACAAAGACCAGGCAACAGCATTCTCTGGTAAACGTGAACCTTTTATACTGTGATCTCCAACCCAAGCCAAGCGTGGAGATTTTAGAAAACCCCTCTTATAGAGGAGGAGGGTCATAGTTCAGCAATGGACTGTGGTTTTTTATGGGAGAAGCCGCTAAACGAGCAGACCGATCACCTGATGGTAAGCAATCGGCGTCGCTCATGGACACCTGGAATACCAGATCCGCCTTTTGGGGATTAGGAACTTGAGGATTGTTGAGAATCCAGGAATTGGGGAGATTTATGAGGGGGGGAGGGGTTATTGGGCCTCCGGTAACCTCATTCACACGACGAAACAGAACGCAAGCGTTGTTTCACGTCAGTTCTCTGCTCGGCCGTGGTATCACTCCGGTCGAGCCGGCCCATTCGTGCCGAAGCATGGCTCTCCCACACTTGTGGAGGATGGAGCCTGATCTTCAGCTTTTTATATGTATTACGTGATTTTGTATAAAAACCCCAACATTTTTTGTACGACTCAAGTGTCGAAGCCACTTCTACAAGTAAGCTACCTTCTTATGATAATATTTGCTTAACCATTGGAGTTCAAGAGTAACTGCTCAATAAACACACATACATGTCAAACCAGTCTCAAGTTAATAGATATGGAATATCTTCAATACATTTTAATCCTTATTCTAAAAGAGATAAAGTTGAAAATGTCATAGAAAGACGGATGTGGTGGTACTTGAATACGTATTTTATGGAAATATTGTGAATTGCGATTGTTATTTCGCGATAGAATAGTAGTTCTGTTATTTTTTTTTATGGCATATGTCGGTAAACGAGCAGACGGATCACCTGATGGTAAGCAATCGGCGTCGCCCATGGACACCCGCAATACCAGAGGCGTTACCGGCCTTTTGGGTAATTAGGAGTTTGAGGATCGTTGGGAATTCAGGAATTGGGGAGATTGGGGAAGGGGACGGTAATTGGGCCTCCGATAACCTCACTCACACGACGAAACACAACGCAAGCGTTGCTTGACGTCGGTTTTCTGTGAGGCCGTGGTATCACTCCGGTCGAGCCGGTCCATTCGTGCCGAAGCATGGCTCTCCCACACTTATTAGATTTTATAGGCAAACGAGCAGACGGATCACCTGATGGTAAGCAATTAGTGCCGTAAGGACACCTGGAACAGTAGAGGAGGTTCAGAAAACCGTGATACAATGCATTTATCGTCGTCGTACGAGTAATTGTTAGATTCTATTGTTAACGCGGTAGCTGTAGTGGCAAAAAAAAAATAGGGAAGAAGGCGCAAGAAGGCCAGAGCTCAGCTTAAATACCGTAACCCGAGCGCAATAGTTCGAGCCGCGGTGCTGATTTTCAGCACTAGCCTAAAACGGACAGAATACTCTTAATTCTCTCCTTCTTCCACCAGGTGGAAGTCATCTTCCATGGAGCAGCGACAGTGAGGTTTGATGAACCTTTGAAGACGGCAGTGGAGATCAATGTTCGAGGGACGAGGGAGATGCTCAAGCTGGCCAGGGGATGCAGCAAGCTGAAGGCCTTTGTTCATATTTCTACTGCTTATAGGTAATAGGGTAGATGCCTAATTTTTATTTTAATGTCCGTCTGGTAGATTATTTTGAATCATTAGAGACGTATTTTTTATTTTCTTACAGAAACAAATACCTACTTTCGACGATATATTGATTTGAAATGTCGCGTGACGTCACTTCTATGTACATTTTATACTAAGAAATAACGTTTTAGCCTTCACTCCTAAACTTTGATTCGTTTTATCTAAGTATTGTTTTATTATACGTCAAAATATAGAAATACGTGTCTAATATTTTTTCAATATCTAACTGACGGACTAGTTAGATTTTTAATTTTCATACTCTGTCATCATCCCAATTGTTGGTATGGTGTGGAAATTTGTGGAATCTTTGGGTGTATGGATGTTACTCTTTTATGTCGAAACTACTGAACAGATTTAGATAAAACTTGGCACAGCGATAGATAATATATAATTTATTATAAACACAGATATAGCTGCTGGCATAAGTTATATAGTACATCCACAAGTATCAAGGCTGACTGCCGAGCAAGGGGTCTCGGGTTCGATTCCCAGATCGAACAAACAATTCCTAGGTTATGTCAGTAATAGCATGGAGTCTGGCATTGTGCCCGGTATATGGCAATAGGCTCACCTCCTATTACATGGGACTCATAATATACCTCTAAATAGCAAAGCGTGGGTGTCACATTGTACAGTGGCATTAAGTGCCGTAATGTGCATCTCCGCGTATCCCTTTTCGCAATCAACTTTAAAATTACTGAACGCATTTACATGCAGTTTTCCCAGTTCTATAGAGAGCAATTCTTAACCTAAATTGACATTAATTAAATTGACAATATAAAAAAATAACAATGATTGATAGTGCGGTGTTACAATGTAATAAATTAAATTAAATTAATTAAGAATATATACATTTCATAATATTAAACTGTAAATGTATGGACCCAATATTTTTGAAATATTTTTTTTTATTTTATTTTATTCAACTCAGAACCGTTGGCGAACCAGTGACATCAATACTAGTTTAAACTAATTTCAATTCAACAATGTTTTCGACTGTAAAACCTTGAACTTGAGTACTTTGTTGTACCATTTGTTACTTATAATATTACTAGCTTTTACCCGCGGCTTCGCTCGCGTCACAAAAGGATAAAAAGTAGTCTATGTGACATATACCAATACACACAGCGCCATCTATACCAATACTTTTGTTTTACCTCGGGAATATCAAATTTTTTCGGGATAAAAAGTACCCTATTATTTAATCCAGACTACTAACTTTACGTCTGCAAAAATTCAATGCAATCGGTTTAGTAGTTACGGCGTGAAGTCGGAACAAACAAACAAAC